AGACTGAAAGGAAAATTTTATAAGACGGTGGTGAGACCTGCAGTACTCTATGGCGCTGAATGTTGGCCTTTAAAAGAGAAGCATAATAATAAGTTAAGTGTTGCCGAGATGAGAATGATTAGGTGGATGAGTGGCTTTACACTTAGAGACAAAATGCGGAATGAATATATTCGTGATAGGGTTGGTGTAGCTCCTGTGACAGACAAAATTAGAGAAAGTTGTCTTAGATGGTTTGGTCATATTAAACGTCGACCATTAGATGATCCGATTAGGAGAGTAGATGTTTTAAATTCGACTTGTGTTAAGAAAGACAGAGGTAGACCTAGGAAGACTTGGGCTTATTGTATTAAAAATGATCTTAATTTACTAGAACTAAATGAAAATATGACACTAAATAGGATGCAATGGAGAAAAAGGATTCATGTAGCCGACCCCACGTAGTGGGATTAAGGCTTTGTTGTTGTTGTTGTTGTTGTTGAGAAATCTTGCCAAGCAGGGCACTTCATTATTTAGAGGACTCATGAATGGATTTTAAATCTTATGTAAACAGTCGGAAAAATTTACTAAGAAGATGATCATAGAAGTATCAGTTGTCTTTAAGCTTTAAATATGCTCTGTTATTTTTTCCTCCATACATTTTGTCCTATTTTGACATTTCTTTGCAAGATTATAACAACAACAACAACAACAAAGCCTTAATCCCACAATATGGGGTCGGCTACATGAATCCTTTTTCTCCATTGCGTCCTATTTAGTGCCATATTTTAATTAGTTCTAATAAATTAATATCATTTTTTATACAATAAGCCCATGTCTTCCTAGGTCTACCTCTGCCTTTCTTAACATAAGTCGAATCTAAAACATATACTCTCCTAATTGGATCATCAGATGGTCGACGCTTAATGTGACCAAATCATCTAAAACATCTATCTCCAAACCGTCCTATTTCTCTGCAAGAGTGATGATGAAATTTATCCGCTAGTTTAGCTCTCGCTACTTGGTTTGGTTTCTATTTTCTAAGCATTTTGTTTCTGGTTAAAAATGCATCTTAGCATTTTTCTGATAAAACCCTTTTCTGCTGTCTTTTGAAGTTGCAGCGCCGTTTCTTTCAGGGGAGGCTTGTTAGAAAAAAAAAAATTGACCTCTTGCTTTGTTTTAAGAACTGTTTCTTCACCTCAAACAATTATTGTTTACTTCTATTTTTTTCTATCAAATTAGCAATTCATCTTTTTTTGCATACCCTCTCATTTTGGTACTGATCGCTGTCACTTTTTTTTTTACTTTGATGTATTTCAAATTTAGGATGCTTTGTTACATCAGATCTCGCTATGTCTGCCATATTATTTATTGACTCTACATGTCATTTAGACTATTCTTTTATAAACTCATTTCTGTTTGTCAAGGAACACGCTATGGAGCCTGAAATTTTTGTGCAAGAGAATGTTGAACTCAATGTAGAGTCAGAATCATCACTAGATGGGAAAGCGGATGAAAAGGTTAAAGATGAGGAAAAAGATAAGGAAAAAATTAAAGAGTCTGATAGAGAGAAACATAAAGTGAAGGAATTAGAGAAGAAAGGGGATGAAAAGGATAAGTCAAAAGCTCTTGATGGTGCAAGCTTGGACGCTCTGTTGCAAAGACTTCCAGGTTGTGTAAGCCGTGATCTTATTGACCAGCTAACGGTAATGGCTGCTAACTTTAATCAGTAGGGTATAAAAACAGTAACACATAAATGCTTACTTATTAGAATATTTTTTTATCAGGTTGAGTTTTGCTATTTAAATTCGAAGGCAAATCGGAAGAAGCTTGGAAGGACCTTGTTTAATGTTCCTAGAACCTCTTTAGAGTTGTTGCCATACTATTCTCGCATGGTAGCAACATTATCAACTTGTATGAAGGATGTTCCAAGTATTCTCGTGTCAATGCTCGAAGACGAGTTCAACTTTTTGATAAATAAGAAGGTTTCTTTGTGTACACGCACTTTTACAATGTCTTTTTTTTTTCTTTCTGATGATAACGATTTAACTTTACATCATTGGACTTGTGGCTTTTTTTTTCTTTAGGATCAAACAAATATTGAGACAAAGATAAAGAATATCAGGTTTATTGGGGAGCTATGCAAATTTAGAATTGCACCTGCAGGTCTTGTTTTTACTTGCTTAAAGGTTTGTTCTTGGTGAGCTTATATGGTTTGCAATATTGCTTCTTGCTTATCAATAATTTGCCATTTGCTGGTACAACAAGAAAGTATGAATTGTAAATTAACAATGCTGATTTTATAATGGTCTGATAAACTTTTGCGTTCATAAAATGTGAATAGTAGTGGAGTTTAAAAAAGTTGATGTAAACACATTAAATGTTGTTTTTCTTAGCCATTCCAATACCATTAGTCTGAGTGAGCTTTTTTGTGGCAACTGCTTAAGGTACTTTTTTTTTTAAATTGAATTAAAAAAGTTGTTGTTCATGTGGGTTCATCATTATTAATTAATAAAAAGTTTATAGGTCTTGTCTTTAAAGTAACTTCATAATTCCGTCTCATATGTAGGCCATTAGTTGGTGTCATTTTGCAGTTTTATGTTGTAGATGAGCATTTTATGGATGGAAATGCCGCCAAGGGTTTCAGTGCGTGGTTTTTTAGCAAAACCCCAACTGGACCCTGCCTTTAAGGGCCGTTGAGGTGCAACAGAGGTGGACAATAAGACCAGATTAAATTCTCACCAACACTATTCCTGACTTGTAAAATCAAAAACTCAATGAATGATGAATTAGTCTAATTAAATTGCCACAAACATATGTGATACATTGCATTTTATATTCATTCATATTTATACTTGGAATTGTGAAAAATTATATATCAAAACATATATCTATACAAAGCTATTAGATTCAATATAATAAATGTATGCACCCAAAGCCTGTACAAGCTCCAAAAATTATATAGTGCACAAGCTGTACATATCACACCTGGTTCCTCACCCTGGTGTTCTTTGTCTCTTCTTGAAAGACAATAATTTAAAGTGAGCAACAACGAACTCGACAAAATAATCAAGGCTAAAATAAGATTTTATATAAGTAAAAGAAACAATGTGAATGCTCATATGAAACATTATATGTCTACCCAAAAAGTTACAACATTCTAAAATCATATAAAATATGAGAAAACAAATATTTGTAGAAAATCATGGATGTTATATGAAACATGTATAGTTATAAGTATGTACTCATAAACATGTTCATAGTAATGTAATCATAGCTACGTCATCATCGCAATTTCATCATAGCAACTTCATCATACAATATCATCAGAGCATAATAATGTAAATGTATAAACATCAATTATTTTCATGCCATGTCATATCAGGTTCGTCACCTTGTCCTAGATGTCAAATTAACTATGAAAAAATGTTAGTTTCCAACATAACAATTATTAATAGCCCCCTTGATACTAACAACTCTCTACGTTCTGTCATCGTCTGATCACAACAGTTTCTAGAGTTTTGTCACTGCCTGAACACGAGTCGATGATACCTCATCCCTGTATAGTGTATTTGCAAGCACTCATGTAATAATCTACTCATAACATTTTTTGTGACACTTTTAAAGCATAATGCGTATAACAAACATTCATAGACATTTCATACATCACATGCATGAATCATAACAAATGAATACATGCAAACAATTAATATTATAGTCATATGTATCATTGCACGATCATATCATAATAACATCACACGTATATTAAGAAGAAATCAATGTACATTCAATGCATATATTCATTCACAATATTTAAAAAATTCTAAACGCATCCGTGCCAAACTAGAAATCGTATGAAAACTTATAGAATATTATTTTTCTTACGTTAACATAAAATTATTTCTCCCGACTTGACGGAACAACCCTATAACAAGTTTCTTCATGCTCGTCTCGAGCTTGTTGTCTCGTAAAAATAACTTGAAATCCGTAGGCATTGAAGGAATTATTGGAATCATAGCTCGTTTTTTAATTTAATAAAGAACATAACTTATTTGCCAAAACATACCTCAAACAAGCTTCTCAGTATACCCAACCTTTCTCTGGTCTGCCTAAACTTATCCCATTTTCTTCTTAACACTTCAATTCTCCCTTCCCCTTCGCTACTTTGTGTTAAAACCCTTATAGAAATGTGCAAACTAAGTTCGATGCTTCCGACACAAGTTCGACGCTTGCTACGTCCACCAGAAATGAAAAATTGCACAAATTTGTGGCAAAATTTAAAATAGAAGCTGGAGGAAGGAAATAAATGTTTAGAATAGCGTAAAAGAGAGATTCATACTAACCAAAATCTCCCCGGAAGCCCTTACCACAAGCTATGACTCCCAGGTGGCTACTTTCCCTTCAGTGCGCATCTGCCACAGTAACCCGTGCGTAATATTTGTGCGAGGGAAGGAATAGGGAGAAGGAATCACGACATATAACCCGGTCCCCAATAAAACCCAGCCCTACAATTCAATCTAGCCACTGCATGCACTGTGAAGTGCTGGGAGAGGTCTGCTGGAACAGTAGAGCTGCGGGATTAGAGTTAATTACTTTTAAAATTTGCAGAATTTTAACTTGTTCTCAAATTTTAGATGTTAAAATTTTGGACTATCATGAATCTTTGATTTGGCTTTACACAACACTCACATTAAGACTGCAAATAGTGGACATGGTTGGGGGCAGAATACATCTTGGGTATATAAATAAATAATAACTTTAAGATTTTGGAGGATTCAAATATTTTTTTTATCGACATTGATAATAATTTATTTTTATATTAAGTTTGTTACTTTAGTAGTTTGTCAGATGAAGGGGGAAATATTTTGAGAATGATGAATGAGTGTAAAAATGCTAAAGTCATTGGTTTGTGATTCATTTTGTGTAAATAAGTTCCTTTATCCAATCATTAGCGATATTTCTCATATAATTAATTATTATAAAGGACATAGTGGTCATTGTGTCCTGTATTATTAAACCTTTTTGTTTGACATGGCATTATAACTCCGAATGTTGTGTGCAGCAGTAGAGTTTAAAACAGCTCGAGTGTGTGTTTTATGCGTGTTTAGCTATTAAGAATATAAACTATCAACACATGCATAGCATAAAGAAGTTTATTTGAGTGGAAAAACCCTAGATGGAATAACTATATGGTATGTTCTAGCTGCACAAACCCATTAATTGTAGAAAAATCATACACGTGTTTTTCCACCTCGCAATATGTAGAGATCTCAATAAAAAATGGCACTTACGTAGGCAGAATGAAGATGGTGACATTGTGGGAGCTATGCTAAGGTCCATGCAAGTCTGTTACAAGTGTAAAGAATGTTGACAAAGTCCCCAGATGACGTCTGCACAATAGAGGCACCTTCTTGTAAAGTTGGGCAGACTACAATGCGTTATTTGCAACAACAGTTTGTTGTCAATGAATGTTGCATGCTTGACAATTAACATCATTTTTTGCCTTTTAGTTTGCTTGAGTTGTGATGAGCACATGATAGGGCTGACTCATTGTCATGTTAGTAAATGAGTCAAAATATATTATCATTAGTGGAAGTGAGAAAATTTCGCTGAAGTTAAACTTGAAAATTTTGCAAATGACTTGAGTTTGAGCATTACATAAATTTTTGGATGGCTTTTTTAGTTTTTATTTTATTTGTTTAAGGTAGAAGCGTAGATTGACTTGCCCCATCATCAAAATGTGAGCCAAGACTTGACCTAGGGTGGCCCGAGTTGTTGGTGATGGATTGAGAATAAAGCTGATAGCAGCCACAATTGCAGCCTCAAATTTCCACTATGATACTATCTTGAGCACAATCAACGACAAGAAGTTTTGATGTGTTGATCGATGGGAGTATTTTCCTAAAAGGTTTAACTGAATGGATTTGGTAAATGAGCAAATGGTCCCCCCATTTGTGTATGGAGTAACCACTCAACTAGAGGAGTGTTTACATAAGGATGACTTATAAAATGGAGTGCAGGTGTAATTGCTTTGCGAAGTTTGATCTTTTTGTAGGGATTCATAATAATAATCTTAACGTGGCCAGAGTATTGGTTCCATGCCCCCTATCAGGCTGTGATAACGCATCAACTTATGAATTCATGAAGAGGAAGCTGGCCCAATCAAGGGTGGGCTGTTGATCTGTACTGTTCTTGTTCAATCCTCCTTGAACTCTTAATAATTGGTTCAATCAATCTCGGATTTGGTGCAATGCTTGAAAAAATTCAAGCTGCTTTTCATTATCATTTCAATCTAATGCGGGCTTCTTCTTAGTCTTTTGCTGATCATGGTAGTATTGGCAAAAGGTGGCTAAATTTTTTTTTTTGCATTGGTTGTTGAACAAATATCAAATTGAGGGGAATACAAGGAAATTAATTATCACGATTCGACCACAGTGCTTAGAATTATTAATACAGGAATAGATGTTCTGTTGATAAAATTTAATTTTTATCACTAAATAATAAAACTATTCATTCAAAGTATCGAAAAAGCTGCTAACAAATAGAAATTAAAGTATTTAAAAAGAAAAACAATTAACATACATGCTAGTTAAAATATAATGAATCCATAAAAAAATAATTGATAGTTTATTATTCAATTATGATTTTTCAAGCAGTTTTAGAACATTTTTTGTGTAATACAATTATGTATATTATCTGTTAATTTATATTTGTTATTAGAGTACCAGCTAAATTGTATCAATTAAGGTATTTCAATATCTATATTTTTTTTTAGTTTACATGTACGAGTACCTTAGCAATCAAAGCTTAACAACATGTAAGCATTCTATATAGTTCATATCAATCACATTTTAATTTCATTCAATATATATTATATATCTTATAAATAATGAATAAAAATCAACCATATTGTGAAACCTGTAGCATTCATACTGATATGAACGTATTATAAAAGAACTGATGAATCATGTTAAAATCATACAATTGAATTATATGAGTATTTTAACTTCCCAGTTTGTAATATAAGTGGGTTTATTCCCTTGCATGAGCATGATTGCTCATCCATTGCTGCTCTCAGTTCGCATTCTCTTCTAGTTGCGCTTTTGCTATGCTCTCTCTTCTCATGGTTCATGCTTGTACGGTTTGTCATGACTTCCCTTCACGGTCGTCTCTATCTCACCTTCATCTCAATTATAATAAGACAAAACCAACTAATGTCGGCTTGGTTGAACCGACATTAGTCAGTTCATATTATTATTATTATTATTATTATTATAATTTTTTTTATACGGGCATTATAATTTTCTCCACTTATAAAAAAATTATCCTTGTAACTTTGTTTATGATCATATATGATCTATTCTAATTTTCTTAGTTTTCACGTAAAGATTTCTATGAATTAGTTCTAATAACTCTTTCAGTTAAGATTGAACTTTTCTAATTTATACATTGACTTTGATATCACTTTTGTTTTGACCCGACCCAGAGACTTGGAATTATATAGACATGAATAAATCATTAGATGGTAAAGTTTAATTTGTATCAATAACTAATAAAAGTATTCATACAAATAGTTGAAAGAGCCACAAACAAATTAAAATTAAATCAATTTAATAGAGAAAAAGAAAACAACACGCATATAAATGTAATTACCTTCATCTAATTTGACCACAGCTTGTATAAACTTCTCTTCTAACCTTTTTTTGTATCTAAGTCTTGTATCTTAAATTCTTAGTTTAAATTATTTGGAACAAATAAGAAATCAATGAATACTCATATCTCTAAAGTTTAATAATATAACGAAAATGAAAACAACACGCATGCTAGTAAAATATAATAAGTTAGTATAAAATAAATGATAAATTTCCATTCAATTATGGCATTTTAAGTTGTTTCATAACATTCTATTGTACGGTATAATGGTTTATCTTATCTATATCATTTATATTTGTCAGCAACATTGTTTGAAATGTACCAATTAAGTAATCAATGAAAGTTCTTCAATGTTAATATTCTTTTCTAGTTTATATACACGATCATCTTAGTGTATCTAGCTAGTATCCTAAATGGGTAAACTCCATCAATAAACATGCACACGCAAGCATTATATATGCTTCATGTTAATCACATTTTTGTATTAATTAGTGTATAATATATGCATATATATTTAATAAATAATATATTAAAATTAATCATGTTAAAAAACTTGCAATCTTCATTTTGATATGATTTATATTATAAAAGAACAAATAAATCATGATAAAATCGTGCAAATCAATTAAATAAATATCAATTAATTATGCATTCTAATTAATCTTCGAATTTTCTATTGGTGATTATCTAACTCAAATGCTACATTTGCTTTTCAGATGTATTTCGGCAGATAACCAATGAAGTCTTTTTGCATAAACTTCTTAATGCTGGCTTCCTCCATTGTATATAGCTTATTTAGGGTTCATGAATCTGTGTGAAAAAATTGTTCAGGGACATAATAAACTTGTTCTTTTCTTTTCTTCTGGTTTACATAAAGTGGTGCTTCCTTAGAAGAGATGATTTCTTTTGTATAAATTTCTTTTCCTCTATTTTGATCTTTGTATGTTAATTTGATACACTTAGAATAAGTACTTTGTACTTTTCTTGTCAATAAGATCTACTAGCTAATCAATTAATATGTGCCTATTTACACCAACTATTTCTCATGAATAGGCCTGTTTGGATGATTTTAATCATCACAACATCGACGTGGCTTGCAACTTGCTTGAGACATGTGGGCGTTTTCTGTATCGTGCACCCGAAACTTCAATTCGAATGGCAAATATGTTGGAAATATTGATGCGTCTGAAAAATGTTAAAAATTTGGATCCTCGTCATAGCACACTCGTGGAGAATGCCTATTACTTGTGTAAACCTCCCGAACGGTCTGCTCGGGTCAATAAAGTGCGCCCTCCATTGCATCAGGTATGATATGTTGACATATTTGTTTTTATTCTTTGTTTTTCTAACTTTTAGAAAAATGTTTAGCTGCAAATTATTTATTTATCTTTGGTGCAGTATATCAGAAAATTGCTTTTCTCAGATCTTGACAAGTCCTCTGCTGAGCATGTGCTTAGACAACTACGCAAGCTTCCATGGGATGAGTGTGAACAATATATTCTAAAGTGTTTTATGAAAGTTCATAAGGGGAAGTACAGTCAAGTGCATTTAATTGCTTTGCTCACAGCAGGTCTCAGCCGCTACCACAATGAATTTGCAGTTGCAGTTGTTGACGAGGTAAATTTCTGTTTATTGGTGTTAAGATTCAGTGCCATCGGAAGCTAGTGGAGGTCATGATTTTAGTTTTTCTGTCTGTTCAATTTCTTGAGCATATTTTAGCATTATAATCTAAATATGGTACGACTACTATAAAATTCATTTTTGAAATTTATATTCGTCACTGAACTAAGAGGTATGAAGCTCTAAAAATCCTTTTGGTTTGTGGAATTGTGGATTTGTGTGTGAATCTTCATTTTATTCAGGGTAAATCTCTTTGAATAGAGTTAATGATTGATGGAAAGGTTGCTACTACAACTACTTAGCTCATTCTGGACTGAAATTATGCTGCTTGCTCTACTGAATGGGACACCCCTTGTTCTGAAATAGTACTTACCTTTTCTTTGTTTAATCTGCTTATTCAGTATAAGAATGGCTTTGAAATTATGGGAAAACATGCTATTTGCGAAATCAAGCATTTTCAAAATACATGAAAGTATGCAAATGCAGCGGAATTGTAATTTTTTTTTTTATGGTGGACCAAAGTATAATGTATAAAGTTGCGAGACAATTTCAGAATATTATGGTGCATGAAAATTATGAACTATGCCCCAATTCATTTTATGCTTTGCTGTGGTTCATAGGGTGATGATTATATGCATACAACATCAAGAACGTGATTCTACTGCTATGTTTTTTGTGAACTAAGCATTTCATTGTATCAAAGGTCATGCCATTTTTCATTATTTCTATTTGATTTTGTGGGAATAAAGCCTTTCCACTATTTAACTTAATTAACAAATATGCATGTCTTTGAATTTGAACTCATCCTTTCTTAATCACAGTGACTAAATCCATTTCAGTTGATTGTACTGCTAAATTGTCCCTTCTGTTCCAATTTCATGTTAATTTGATTAGGTGTCTAACTAGTGTGCAATTTAGTGGTTTGTGGCAGCTGTTGTGATTGAAAGTTAACCATTCAATATTCATGAGGTCCAGGTTTGTCTCATATGCAAAGAATTATCTAATTGATCAAGCTATTTGATATGTTAGATTCTCTTTAGTTATCAATTCTTTGGTCAACTGTAAATAAATCTCCCTTCAAGAAATTCTTCTATGGAGTAAGGGAGTTACTAGAAATGCTCCATAACGATGCATGACTTTTGTTTTTGTTGTTATTATTAGCGTTATTGTTTTTGTTCATGATTATCCATGTTTGGTAATATTTTATAGAAGAATATTATTAATGGATACTTTTTATATGCTTATTACCATAGTTGCATCCGCCCAGAATTCCTGCTTGAAAGGATTTGGTCAGTGATAAGAATTCTTTTAATCGTCCTAAGCGATTCTTTATCTTTGGAGTAAACTAGCAAATCAAATTGCTCCATTAAGATGCGGTGTATTTTTTTTTTTCACCGGTCTTTTGTTCCCCTTTTGTTCTTCTATAAAGAAAATAATTTATTTAGTTCCCTACTTCTTCACCGTTCTTTTGTATTACTTTGTTCTTTTGCAAAGAAATAATCTGATTAGCCCATTATTTTGATATCAATCATAGAAAAATTTAATCTGCCAGGCAATTTCTAGTAGAATGGGCTCTGAGTTCTTAATAATTCTTAAAGCCATTCCTGGTCTATTGAGAAAACTTGTTCATTAAATCCACCTCTTTTGATAAAGCATGTATCCTTTGTTTCTTCATTGAACTTGGTAGTGTATGAGATCATTAATAGAGGATCTTTATTTGTTTCATTACTTGTGTAATACTAAGTGGGTATAACATACTGTTCAGGTATTGGAGGAGATTCGGATAGGACTGGAACATAATAACTATAATATGCAGCAGCGGCGCATAGCTCACATGCGTTTTTTAGGGGAGTTATACAACTATGAGCACATAGACTCTTCTGTCATATTTGAAACCCTATACTTGATTCTAGTTTTTGGCCATGGAACTCCAGAGGTATATTTTCTCATATTTATTTATTAGTTTATAATTTTTATTCTGCTGTCAATTTTAATTTTGCTCTCCTATATGTAGATTAACTATTGCATTACTATTTTTTTCTTGTATTAAGTTACGATTAACTATTGCATGTTGGTGAAGGAAACATCTCTTTATAATTGTTAGAAATCCTTGCATTATTTGAAGTTTTGCAGTGTTTATCTAGGCTACCATATACAAGAGATTTCTGGAACTGTTTGATTAAAGTTTGCTAATTTTTAATAACTATTGTTTGGGAAGATGAAATTATCCGCAATTGGCTTAATCATGTCTTCCAAGCTGAAATAGTATCCTTCGCCTTTTATTCTCCAGCTTGATATCAATTCCTTGTCATTAGCTTACATATTTTAAAGTGAAATCCTTGGTATGATTTGCATATTATTTCTTTAATCTTTTCAGTACATTTATTGAGTATCCCAAGACTTCCAATCGGTCAACTACAATTTTATATGATATTCTCAGTCATTCTCTTTTTAATATTAAACTTTTCTTTGTTCTGATTTGGTATTTAATCCTATTTCTTCTTGGTAAATCATAAACCAATCTGCAGTTAGAATGCACTTCTGTTTGAATTTGGATTTAAGTTTTTTTTTATTAATTTTGCTTTTGTCCTCAGAATATGATGAAACTTTTTTCCCTCTATCTCCTTCCTGAACTCCAACCACGTTGCAACACTAATCTTGACTGTTTTCCTTGATGTGAAGCAAGATGCGTTGGATCCGCCAGAAGATTGCTTCCGAATAAGAATGATTATAACCCTTCTTCAGACATGTGGCCACTATTTTGACAGAGGTTCCTCGAAGAGAAAGCTGGATCGATTTTTGATGTATTTCCAAAGATATGTACTCAGTAAAAGTCAAATACCACTGGATATCGAGTTTGACATTCAGGTACCTGGTTTTCTTTTTTCTGCCCTTTAATGACTAAGTTTTCTGTTCTCTAGGCACGGACTTATCTTTATCTGCAAGTTGCTTTAGATCAAGAATGTGAATACATCGTCTATAACTCCGTTCAAATGTTAATTTAAAAGTGCTTTTGTCTGTTTGTCTGCCCTTTCTTTCTTTTTTAGTTCACATTCTGCCTTTGAGACAAGATTCGGTAAACATAAATTCTTGCAGGACATGTTTGTTGAGTTGAGACCAAATATGATCCGCTACACGTCGATTGACGAAATCAATGCTGCACTAGTTGAGCTTGAGGAGCACGAACGTGATAAGCCCAGCACCGAGAAGCACTCTGACAATGAGTCTCAGAAGGCTTCATCCAAATCATCTATACCCCAATCAATGGCTTTGAATGGAAGCCGTTGCGCGGCGAATGAAGTTGATGAGAATGGCCAAGGCCATGAGGATGTTGTTGAGAGCGATAGCGATTCTGGCAGCGGCAGCATCGACCAAGAGGGGCGTGATGACGATGATGATGTAATGTACGATGACAAGATTGATGATGGATCTGATGGTGACGACGATGATGATGATGATGGAGGACCCGATGGTTCCGATGAGGATGACAGTATTCAGGTTAGGCAGAAGGTTGTAGAAGTCGACCCAAAAGAAGAAGAGGATTTTGATCGAGAGCTTCGAGCCCTCATGCAGGAGAGTATAGAGTACCGGAGGTTAGAGCTTCGTTCCAGACCCTCTTTAAACATGACGCTGCCAATGAATATTTTTGATGGAAGCAAGGAGTTGAGATCTGCGGAGGGGGAGAGTGGGGAGGAAACATTGGATGAAGAAGGTGGTGGTGTTCTGAACAATAAGGTCAGGGTGAAGGTGCTTGTAAAGAAGGGGAACAAGCAGCAGACAAAGCAGATGTTTATACCAAGAGAGTCTTCGCTGGTGCAGAGCACGAAGCAGCAAGAGGCGGCGGAGCTCGAGGAGAAGCAGAATATAAAAAAGAAGATTTTGGAGTACAATGAGAGGGAGGAGGAGGAATCAAATGGTATGTCATCGCAGTCTAGTAACTGGATGGCAGGGAGCTCTGGTGGTGGCAGTAGTGGTGCAAAGCCATCGGGGCGGGTAAATTGGGAAGCGGTGGGGAGGACGACAGTTACCAGGCAGCAGAGGCATCATTCAAGTAGTGGTTTTTATCCTGCCTATGGGAGAAGGAAGTGATGAAGCAATGTTAAACATTATTCATGCTGGTGTTGAGATGGTGGTCTGATAAAAGCGCCTATTTTGTTCATTTGGCTGTAGGCAGGAAATCATTCGGGGTGCTTGTCTGTAAAGTTGTCTTCAGTGTATCAATGTGAAGTTGATTCCATGGAATGATAGATATTGTGATTATCACCTTCGACCATACGTCTATTAACTTAGTAATAGTTTAACTCAGCTTGCACATTCCGCATGAGCTAACGAATCAAAGATCCATTTGTGTGCAATTATTTTTGAACAATATTATATTAAGTTATATTAATGATTAAAACTTTTAGATCGAATGAAACACTAAAATTTTACCCCAGCTTGCATTAAGATATGAACGTTCAAATTATTAAGAAAATTGTCTTCTTCTGAGCTGATTTTTGGGTGTCTAAATCAAGTTTAGCTCGCCAAATCAACTCAAAATATAAATGTTATACATCATACTATTTTCTGCACATGTTAAAAATCTTCTCAGCTCAAATTCAAGTAAATTGAGGCTAAAACAACTTGAAATCAAATTAATTTAAGCCTGAAGTTAATTACAAGGCCACTTGATCTCATTTTCAGTCGGCATTGAATCTCAAAATGGAGCCGTTAACATTGAAGCAGGCCATCCAACTCGTGAATCAAAATAAAAAAGGTTGTTGACGGCATGTCACACGAAGAAATATACTTTAAATAAACTTCAGGTAATGTACACAATATTAGATATGTACACATAATTTCATGACCTAAGTTTAACTTACATCTGATGATTTTAGGTTGATGTAAATTTTAACATTGCATCCCAACAATCCACAGCTGAGATTATAACAACTCAAAAAAAAAAAAGAGCCAGAGAGCTAATGACAGCATAACCGTGCTGTTACAATATTAAAATGTCAAAGATACGAATGTAGATAAGCACGAGGAAGAAGCATCACAAGTAATAATAGAACGCCAAAGTCTCAGCACAAGGCAGTAAGTTTGATCCTCAGCAATTAGTAACATTGTCTTCGACTGCAGGATCACAAAACACGTCAAAAAAGTATAGTTATTAAGATTGTCATTTGTTATATAAACTGCTGCTGGGTAAGAATAGAAGGATAAAAAAAAGGGAGAAAAGTTAAATCTATGACGATTTTAAAGCTCTCATCTTTAACCAATTTCTTTAAGAGAGAGAGAGAGTTACCCCAGGGAATATCTCTGCCGATAGCAAGTAGTCAAGTTTATTTATTACGAAGGTCAACAACATCGAACTTAATATTAGCGTTCATGAGAACATGAGAACAATGCTCATAGATTGGGCTGCCATCAGAAGGTTCCTCGTGAGGATGAAACCCACGCGCTTGGCAGTTGCGAATAACTGAGACGCCGCTCGGCTCAGACAGGTGGAAGATGCCATGCTTTCTGCTTAACCAAATTCCCATGTTAATTATATTTAAGAAGCATTAAGTAATGGGAGCATATAAAGATGAGAATTTTCAGAGAACTTCATTCATTTAAGCTGAAGCATAACCATCATCCTCCAACAAATTAAATTTTAGGAAGAAATAAATGGTTTTCATATATATCATCATATCTTCCATCTTTTTATGCAGACACTTGATGAATGATACCAAATCAGCAAATACAATTCATTGTAATAATTTGATACACATAGACATATAAAAGAGATTATTGTTGAAATCAGAACAATTATTACGTCCAAATCTAGAATTTAAATTTGATTTCCATGAGACAATAATTCTGATTCGGAGATACTTTTTATATAGGAATATAGACAATAGCAGAATCTGCTTATACTTTTAATTTAATCTTAAAAATATATATGAATAAGAGTCGAGAGGGCTGGAAGCAGCCAAAGAATAAAAAGTGTTGGTAAAAGACAGTTAACACAAATATGAGGATGGTCCAATGACCAATAATAAAAGAATCACTGAGTTCAAATCATAAATTCGCATATTTTGTAAAGTTTATAACCTATGTTATTCAAATTGATATATCCAGGCGTATCTTATATGGATATGAAACAATTCTGATAGATAAAATGTTGAATGAAAGCATAAAACTAAAGGATGAAAAGTTAATAATCCTTGGTCCATATTATTAGAAAATCAAATATGGCCTACGTGTCATAAGTATGTCATCTATATAATAAAAAAATGGGATATAGGTGGAGGACATAAGAGCTAGAATAAAAATTTGGGGCTAAAATAGAAAAATGCCTCAAAAGTACTGCAACAGGTAATATCATGGACAATTAGAACAATTATTATTATTTTTTAAAAAGAAACGATTACGCTATAAAGCTGCAAGCAGGTAATAAAAAAGTCACTAACGTCTAAATTGAGTGAAAAAAATACAAATATTAATATAGATCGATGGTAACACTAAGGATAGGTGAGAGAGGACTATAATAGAGAGGGTGCATGCACTATCTAAGACAAGATGAAAATAAATTTATATGATTTGAGCATGTAAAATAGAAGGAAGAAGATGCAATCGGCTAGCTAGAACTAATAAGCTATGAAGATAGGCTAAGAAATTAAAGTTAAAATCTCATCTAGGACTCATTTTGAATGAGTGGAAAAGGAAGCTTCATGAAGCTGATCAAGATAGTGAGATGAGGCTTTGAATATCACATGCAAATGATACGCTTGACTGGCTATTTAGAGAGTTCGAACATTATTTCAATTAACGGACTAGCTTTGACACCTTGTGGCCAAAGAAATGCTTTTCTTCAGACGAGCAAGTCAATGGCTATTATTCGATTCTATTGATGCAGCAAATATTGTTCGAGCAGAGAGAGATTAAATAAATACCTTGTTGTATCAGTTGGAGCCATAACTATTGCAATTGCTTCAGGAAGCATAATCTGTCAATTAAACAGAAAATCACAAAATATATTTGCACTAGATCCAATAAAAAAACATAAATAAATGAATAAGAGTAACAACAGCCACCTAAACATGGAAAATGTCAAGCATTTGTGTTTTAAGTCTGAAGTTCTATTTGCGACAGAGATGCCATAGCTATGTATGTATATGTATATGAATATAAAGATAGATTCAGGAGCATCAAAGAAAACATAAGATAGTGATGTTTTAAAATACCAGCATGCTGCAGAGTTATGTCCTTCCACTTGGATAAAGAATCTGCATAATCAAAGGCAGTGGACGGTTTCCATTTTTTAATTTTTTTCATTTTGTTTTGAATTTTATTAATAGATATGTAGTAAACATATAAGATTTTTTTTATGCCAACAGGGTTTGATACTACTTTTCTCGGTTAAATAACAAGCGGATGTTCTTTCGGATGACAAATGAAATGTAAATGATTATTCATGAGTGGGTAACACATACTGAAATGCAAGGTTATAGTAAAGACCTAGGAACAACAAATGGTGTGACCAAAGATAAAATGGAATGAAATAAACTGTTAGATAAAAGTCTTGTTACCCTTGTATCCTCCAAATCAGAATAAAGCCATATTATATAAAAATTACAATGATTTATGATAGCTTTCTTCAAATAAGTAAATAGCATCATAATACAATGCAAACAACTGATTATAAAAAGAAATTGAAAGCAGCCATTTCCCATACAAAACATTTAAAGCCCGGCAAGAAAAACATTTCTGTTCTATCATTTTACCTGATATGAATAATGAGTGTGAAGATCAATTGATGACATGAAGCAAGTTTGTGTTGGGTGTGTCTGGAGAAAAAAGGAGACAGTTAAAAAAAGATACAAGTGTTGGCTGATAATTTAAATCAATCGGTTCAATGACAAGTAGCCAGTTAAGTCTCGTTATTTCCAAAAAAGTTGTCAAAATCAACTGGCTGAACAAAAATGTAAGACCCTTAAAGAGATCCAGGAGATGTCACAAGTCGGAAGCACTTAATAGCTCTACAAAGAAGTGTCAACAATACCATTTACTAAAACTGATATTAGTTTAGAGTTGCTGCAATGCAGAGACATTAAGTGTTTGCATAAACTAACAAAAATGTCCCCCCAAACAGCAAAAGGCAGCTAAAAAACAATCATCTAGTTGTTCAGTATATTTTATAAACTAAGCAGGATCTTCTTAAGCAGCGCCCCAATACATTAGTTCAAGGAAAAGCTTCAACCCCTCCTTTAAAACCTTTTTTGTTGAAGCAAAATACTTGCCCTCCATGACTTCACGAGCTTGAGTGACACAGAGTAAGTTGTCCGCACTATAAAAGAAGATATTATTCTATTTTAAAGCCAAACAGCTTCAACACAACATTACTAACAAAGTATAAACAGGTGAAGGTTTCGAGAATGTCCACACACCATTATCTTTTTTATGTTTTTCCCAAAATCCTCCCTCCTTAAAAAGTTAAGTTGTGTTTAGCCATCTCCACTTTGGATTAGGGCTAAGTTCAACCCTCTTAAATTAGTAGTGGGATTGCTAACCTCCATTCTCATTGGCTTAGAAAGACATCCAAAATAATTAAATAAGGACTACTAGAATATTAATAAAAATTAAACTAAGCACTAAGCCATTCATTTTCATTTCCCTGAACCCATCAAGATAGAGATCAAACAAAGGAATGCTGTCCGCAGGATGTAGGGAAGCAGAGAGAAGAAGTGGGAAACTTGGGGGCTGTTTAGAACCATTAAGAAAAAAAAAACAAAAATAAAAAACATGTTTGGTTATATATATATTTTTATTTGTTTTTATTATTATTATTTTTTGTTCCTCATTTTTAAAAATACCAAAAATAAATAAAAGCTGTTATAACTGTTTTAAAAACAGATTTTTGTAACCCAACCATCGCACTCCCGACCCCGACACTTTGCCTAATCCCACTTTAAAGCATTTCTCTCCATCTTAGTCCTTTCAAGTAGCACCAACAACATCGACGTTGATGCCGGCGCCAACAACGCCGACGCCGATGCTGACACCGACACCAACACTAACATCGACACCGGCACCCAGTCTTTCTCCAACGTGATGCCTTTTCCAACACCAAAGTCCTCTTCATAATCTTTCTTGTTTGAATCATTCGAAATTGAAGCAGACAGTTGTGATCTTTCAGATTCCCACGATCCACAACTGAAAAAGAGCAGGTGCTTGAAAAAAAACTCAAATTCATTTTTGCCAGTTGTTGTTTAACAGTAACTTTTACTGGAGGTAACTTCATTCCCAGTCTTTCCTCTTCTTTTTTAATTGAATAGCTAGCACAACTTTGTGCGCTTCTTCTTAGAGCCACTTTCTATCAGCTCATTGTCATTGGTTGCCAGTGAGCTTACGACCATCATAGCCAATGAGATAATTGATGTCTTGCTAGTGCTCATCTCCGAGCATTTTCGGGCATTATTTTACAGATTTTGGACAAAAACTGCAGGTGCGTTCATAATTAATGGAGAGTAGTAGACCATGTCTTGCTTAGTGCTCATCTCTGAGCATTTTCAAGCATTGTTTGACAGTTTTTGGAAAGAACTGCAGGTATGTTTATAATTAATGGAGAGTAGTAGAACAAGAGAACTATTTGTTACCTTTTTCTTTCAAAATTATTTGCACTATTATGTTAAACAACAATCATTCCTAAAGAATAAAAAGGTTAGCGGATAAGTGATAGTGTTTTTGGCATGGAAAGAAAGCAATTTAGCATTAAGTCTTTTCGTCGCTTCTATTTTCCCCTAGTATTATTTTTGGGGGCAATTCTTGATTGAGATTTAAAATTTCAACTGTTTTTCTTGCAACAGTTGTAATTTTCTTCATTTGCCTTATTTTTTTATTAAAATCTTAAAATCAAAATATTTTTATATTTTATTTTTAAAAACCAAATATTCATATAAATATCAAACATGTTTGTTTATTTTTTGTTGTTTCTTTTGAGAAAGCCCAATGGTCAATATGTGTGATTCGAACCCACAAACTCTCGGTGGAAAACTACAATCTCAATCACTATGTCACCAGAAAGTGCGCTTTAACTTTTTATTTTATTTTAAAATAAAAAAAGAGTATCAAACATGTTTTTGTTTTAGGTAAAAATAAAAACAAAAAAAAAAAAAACAAAAAACAAAAAACAGAAAGTGATCCCACATGACCTTTAAAATTTAGGTAAATTTTGGATTTTTGTGTTGATTTTCAGAGGAATGAGTTTGTATTATGATTTATAAGCTTAAAGGCTTATACACGGAGAAAACATTTTAAGGTAAATTTTATTTCGGAACAATTTGAGTTAAGACTTGTGTTTTCAATTTGAAAATTGGTATAAATGGAAAACATAATTATTTTATTCAGTTATATGCAAAGAATAGAACTTTGAAGTGATAGAAATAAGAAAAGTGTTCTGAAGTGAAACTCGTGTTTGCAGAAAGATACTCAATTTCTAATATAAAGAGCAAACTATTTATAGGCTAAACGATTGTTCAGTTCTACAGTATATTGGACTATCACGTGCATTTCAATAGCGATTTTCTTATATTTAATATGTTAATATTATACGACATTTTACAGGTACATCTGCTAGAAAAAATTAAATATTATTTTTTTTTGTGCAAGTTTAATGGCATATTCAAAAATTCATATACTACTTTAGTTAGTATTAATTTATGCCATAATTAAAGTAAGGATACATATTGATGATAGTGAGGGCATAAAAATACAAAATATGTTTTCAATGTTCATAATATTGATACAGCGAATGAATTTTATGAAACGCCATATCATGTAAAAAATATCGATAAATTATGGTATATCCAAGGAGGGCATCTAGTAGCTTAAAAAAATGTCCGACTTTCAATAATTATCACGTTGGAGCAATCTAATCTTTATTGAGTGGTCATTGATAACAATTATATTAAAGCAAATCCAACTCTTATGATCGATGCAATGGGCTAACCCGCTATATGGCAAGCATATGACATCTAAATATGCCAAAACCTAAACAAATATATATTATATAATACTTCTAAAGCTATAACAGCTAAAAATGAGAATAAAAATAAAATAAAGCGAATAATTTAAATATCAGAATCTAACTAACATAGTACATTAAATGCTTAGACATTTGATAATTCCTTGTAAACATTCATGCTTATGAACTAAGATGTGTCATTTATTTAATTGTCAAAACATATTTTAATTTAAGATTTACAGCATTGAGTTAGCTATGTTTATGAATACAAATACTCATATTAGTTCAAAAGATCAACAAGTATATTATTCTCTTTTTATTATATTTTGAATAATTTATTAAAGTTGCTTATCCCACAAAGCTTTCTAGCTCATCAAATATTAATAAAATTGTTATTTGAAGTAAGAAAAATGACTAAATCGAGCCACAATAAGGTTACCTGGTTTTTTTTTCAACTTAGTGTTTTGGTCGTATAGTTTTGACTATATCATACACAAAGGATGAGTAAGATATACATTAAAGAATTTAGAAATGTTTTCATTATCCATGAAGTTTATTCAAAGCTCTATAGTTTAATTGATGAATTTAATTATGTTCGTTTTCATGTTTATATATGACTGAGTTGAATCTGTTGAATGATTAGGGGTTTTGTGATACTCTAGGAAGACATGTTTTCCACTCACTCTATTTTGCTGAGAGAGACGGGAGAGTTTTAGAGGAAATTACATTTGAAGGGGTTGCCGCCTTTGCCACCTCTCATGTTATATCAAGAATTGTAAAAAATGAGGTGTGATAAGTCAACTCAATCAGCTTCTATTAATTACTAAAATGGGTTACGAAATCGAACTAAGATTATCTTAAGTTCAAAAAATTTGGCCATTAACATACTTAATTAAGTCTTAGGTGACCCAATTGCCCCTTGATTAAGCCCAATTCACTATTATGTTGTTCAATTAGCTCACAGACAAGCCCAATTAGTTTTTGATTAACCCATTTTGCTTTTGATTGGCTCTTATTAAGCTTATTTTGCCCTTGCCCAGCCAAATGGATTGTTTAACCTACCTAGCTGGATGGCCAAGTCCAATTGACGTAATTCAACCTAAATTAATTTAATCAAGCTTAATTGAATCGACAGACTAAGTTTGAACCACTTGTACATTTATAGACCCAATCTCTTCCCTAGGTCAGCCACGGTGCTCAAGTTGATCTCAACTAATGAATATTGAAGTCAATTGTCATATAAGCGCAAACTTATCCAATCAAATTGGGACGAAAATCTTATCAAACTCATGCTTTATTTGAACCAAGCTTAGCCTAACTGTTTCGACCTAGTCAATAAATCTCCAACCGACTAACTTGCTCTTTTGGTCCATCATCACCCTTAGTGATATATCCACTAATAACCTCTTTATAAGTCCTGCACACTCCCCCAAAGCTATATACCCAAGCAGAAAACCTAAACCCAAAGCCTCTAAATGGTGTTATGGATCAGATACCAGAGTTCGCCCAAACCATAATAAAAAAGCAAATGCTATTACATGAAATAAGTACGCAGTTACAATCAACAAACTTGAAAGAAAAAATATAATAGCACGATACCCATAAATCAAAAATAGCAACAGACATGACACAAATAATTAAACTAGAGCGGGATCTCGGCGTTGTGATGGTGATCAACAAGAGTTTGGCCCTCTGAAGAGGCAGTAAAGAGTGAGTGAAGGTTGAAAGGCGCGGCAACAACAAAGGGTGTGGATGGCGTCAGCGAATGGGAGGAGCTACGGCAAGGCAACAAGCTGGAAGAAAATGAATTGATGGTTGGGTGGC